GAATATGGTTTCATATGATTCTCATATGACAAATATCAAAATATACATATGATTCTCATATGCAGGGCCTTTCTTATGAGAATCATATGTCAATACAGTCATATGATATTCATATGTGTAAACATATGATTCTCATATGATTTGCCACATATGCTTCAAAATCTTGCGATACATATTCAGTATCTTATGCTCTATATTCAAAATCTTATGATGTATATTCAAAATCTTGTGATGTATCTTTAACAATCTCGTGATCTGTACAATAGTATTGTATTATGAGTAATATGTTGCAATAGTATTCTAAGAAAGTAAGGACAATTTTCATTGGTTAGAAACAATGAAAGTATACATCACATACACTCCAATGACTGAATCACATGATAAGACAGTCTAGGCGTTTCAAAGACATACCTGTGTAAGCTTATAGCAATTCAATATAATATCTTGCCTTATGAACATATACAGGTTGTGCTTTTGTATGTTCCAATTTTATAACTAACCATCCGGGGGTGACAATGGCCCCGAGCCAAAGGCAAAAAGTAAGAGATACTAATACCAACACAAGCACTGCTGATGGCCTTTTCTCTTGCATCCCAACAAACTGAAATTGAATATGATTGCGAACATTGTGGAATTAGACATAATTAGAGGAACAAATATGTTTTTTTAACAATTAAAAGATGTGTAATAATGTACGCTAAGTGTACTTTTCTTTACTTTATTAAGGTATTCTTCTCATTCAACAAAATGTTTAGGCTTAAAACATTTTACACATTTTATCATTTGTATGTATTACTAAAATTCAACTTAAAAATAATTAATGATTAAATAAGACAGTAAGACGTATGTCGGAAATGTCTTACATCAGATTTTTACAGTGTAGTTAAACATTTGTTCTATGAAAGCATTAATTCCTGACAAGTATCAAGATGGAATATATATATTGTACTTACCTAAGAAAGAATTCCACGTAAATTGTAACCCCGGATGTTATGCTGCAGGTCGATCATTAAATAAGTCTACCTGTGTTCAACATGCATATATACATTTGATTTTAGAGATAGTTTAATTTTTACGTCAAGAAAAATACCCTTAATTTGAATTTCTCCTGCAGCTACACGTGTTTCTGATCTTTCTTTTAAAACATAAAATTTAATGCACTAGCTGTAAGAAAAAAAATAGAAATAAATTTTATTACATTTAACCAAGCAGAAAAAGGTTATACCTTTCATTTTCTACAAATCAAATGGTGTACTATGTAATACATAAAATGAATTTTAGAAAAGGTTGAAACAAGTATGTTCATATATTTTTTAAGACAAAAGTGTCATTATGTTTCATCCGTTTCAATTTCTGACATAAAATAAAAACAATCAAAATTTCTGTTCGAGAAAATAAACAGGAAAAGACAGACTGGTATAATTTTAAAACTAATTGTTACTACATATAATGCAAAAGTTAAAGATATCTATATTCGTTATGAAGATAGGACAATTATGTGTTAAAGAAAGAATCTATATATAGCTATGAGGACTTGCAGAGCCGTACTTGTACGAGGGTTGTCCGTAAAGTTCGTGGACAAGCCAAAAATTTGATAAAAGTTGGGTCATTGATATTTATTATTGACATATTTCTAATCCTTTACTCAATGTGAATTAAATAATGTTAAAATTTAATCAATTTCAAATGTTTAATTACAATTATGGCTTCATAATTAGCTTTGGAATGGAGACCCGGAGCACTGCAAAATTTTAATTAAAAAAATATTTATCACTTTTTAAATTTCATTTGTATTTTAAAAATTTCTTTTCTAATCTGACAGAATTTTACATTGTGAGGTTGACAGAAGTTATCACGTCAAACCTGCAAAGTTTGAACGTTCAAAGTCTCAAAATGGCTGAGCAATCAGCGTTAGAACTTATTAAGACAGGATCAGAATTGTTCAAAAAAGAGACGTTTTCGGAATAGGTGGAGCAGTGAACAGTGATAAAATTCTGCGTGGACACTGGAAAAACACCTACAAAGACCAATACATTCTGTAAACAATCGGGAAAACATAGTAAAAGAAGTCGTTCACTAGTTTTTAAGTGGTATATAATATTTTCGGACGGAATGAACAGTTTACAGGATGACATGCGTGAAGGAAACCATTATTCCGAGATTGCAATGCTGTAAAATATGAGTTTCGTAACGTGATCATGCCGTATTTCCGTAAATGAAATCGTCTTGACACGGACGGTGGTTAGATGATTGCAGGATATGATACAGGCATGGTTAAATATTATTTTAAGAATGAAACCTGAATTTTTGTGCATATTTTTATGACTGGTCAAAACGACATAAGAAATTGTATTGAGTTAAACGCTTACTATGTTGAGAAAAGTTACTAGTGCTCGTATTTAGCTTTTGACGTCGGTAACGTCAAGAATTTTCGTTTTTAGTGCTCTGGGTATGAGTGTGTGTCTTTTTTGTATCTTATGAAATTACAACTATTTGTGCTTTGTTTTTGTTGAAAACTTGCACATTTATAAAATGAAACATGAATTTTAATGAAAATAATAGTTTCAAATAGTTTGTCGATGTTTGTCCGTAAATATCAATGTTGTCCACGAACTTTACGGACAACCCTCCTACATTGTATGCTTACATACATTGTAATGATAATTAATTTAATCGGTGAACATTTTTAGATTGTTAAATTTGTGTAATGTTTATATGCATGCAAAATTGGTGATACCACAAAACATTGATTGAGGAATTAAATACACGTATACATGTACTTAAAAAATGAAAAAAAAACTCAAAATATTGACCCTTAAAACACCCCGATAAAATTGGGTTTGCAAAACAAGTGCATAATCCCATTATGTAAATAATAAATTATATCTTCATGTTTATATAGGTGATTTTTATGATCAGTGCAGTGTAAATTTAATTATCTGATTTCTTTTAAAGAAGATTTTTAAAAAATGCAGACGTGGGTAAACTTTAAACCTTGGCTTTGGCAATAAATAAGCACTTTACGAGAATTTCTATACATGTTTTGATAAAGCGGTATTTATATCAGTCCTCTTTTTGTTATATATAGCTATTTTATATTCTTTACATCAATTGCACATATTTTGAATAGGATACATAATTAAAAACAAAAGATCGTATATTTTTTTATTTTATTGAACGTACGCGTTGTACAAAATCTGTTAGAAAAAAAATTGGGATAACACGCTCTACCATTGGCAACCTAAAATGTTAGTAAAATGTTAGTAATAAAACATTATACACTTTCCAGGATTAAGGATATTAAATTTTGTGGGGTCGTTGCAGATGTAATAATGTGTTAACCGAGGTTTAAAAAAAAAGAATTATTGATATGAAGAAAAATCAAAATTCAGTTGATAAACTAAAGAGAATGTGATGTGGAACCCTTCGTCACTTTCCTATTTTTAATTTTTCGTCTTATGCAAACATACAAAAATATAGACGTTAAAATCTGATTTCAACTTGATTTGTCTCCATCAAATCTAATAAATAATACCTGGTCCTACACACTGACTACGAGAGTTGATTCAAAAGTCGCCGGCGTGGTGCAGTGGTTAGAGCGTCTATTCTACAGTCGCGGAGTAAGGGTTGATCCTTATGTCGCGGCTACGAATCCCACTAAGGGACGTGGAGTCTGGTCCTTTGGGTGAGACCGTATAAACCAAGGTCCCTTGTCGCAGTAAGTGCTAGCTCCCTTCTCAATGATCCTGAGTGCCGAGCATAGAACAAAATTTGTAGTTCCCCAACGGCAAGTAGTAGCGTCTGCATATGGGCGAAAAATTCTCGAGAAGGATGTTAAAAAATATAGATAAAATCAATCAATCAACCAAAAGTATGTGAATTCAACTAAATTGAATCATGATGAAAACTATATTTATTTTAAATCAGACCTGAAAATTTCAATTTAACATGATTAATACATTTATATGATGGCATTTATATACAAAGTGTGCTACCGCTTGGAAGTCGCCGCATCTAAATAACGTCATATATAATGGATACACACCGTCATACATTCCAACTATTCTTTACTGAGATGTTGATGGCCCGTTTTAATACTCCCCACAACCGCGCCATCAATACCCAATAGAGAATAACATTCAAACGTGTCCCCCCCAAAATATTTGAGATTCACGAACACATTCATGAATTTGTTATTTTAAAAGAATTCTTGGTGCGGTCCATTGTACACTCACTCCTTTAACAATGAAGTCCTCTGTCAATATTCCTTGATCAGTGCACGAGACAAAGTGTTCATATTCCTTTCTATAACAGATACACTCATGTCTATTGATAACATCAGACACCAATTATTCCTATACGTTTCCGACCAACCTCTCATCTTTTGGTCTTCCTGTCCTCTGCTATCCAATGGCTCATAACCCTCCCATAAATCGCTAAAATTATCTTTAAACACACTTTTTTTCATATTCTTTTCACTGCAAATCTGATTAATCAATGTAAACTTTCTCTACTGATAATTTCCCCATTTTGAAGAAAAAATGCAAAATGCATTACAGCTCAATGCGACATCCCCCCATTTTGACACGTCATTTGTTCAATTTCTCAGAGTAAAACACAACTGTTTATAATAAAAATAGCAATAGGGTCGTTTAAGTTTTAGCTAATCATTTAAAAATAAAGTAAATTTTGTCTTAATAATGATTGGCCGATTAGGCATGTTCTTAGATATTATTAACGTGTTCGTCTTTTTCATCCTACAAAAAATATTCTTTAAAACGTGCTGTTTAGTTTTGACGCGGCGACAAAACGTGACGTCTAGTTGTGACGCGGCGACACCCCTATGTCTTATGTTTGAAACAACTATAAAATGAATTTAATTCAACATTATTGAACCAAATTTTCAATGTTAATTAGATTTTTTATATGTGCATATTTCGGTATGAAACTTTATTTCAACTTTATTATTTTATAATATGACGCCAAAAATACAAGATATGGACAATGTGATATTAATTTTTAATCAAGCATCGTACATAAACTGGTTGGATATTCTTGGTACATTTATATGATATATCTAAGGCTACAGATAATGCATCTATGTAATTTTGCTTTCTACCAGAATTGTGAAGTTGTTGGGATTGATGATCGGAAACAATTTCAGCACTCGACTGTCTGTGGTTTGCTGTCGTCTAATTTTGTTGTACAAATCTCCCCAAAGGTCAAGTACAATAAAACAGGAAAATGTGCCAACAAAGGCAATGATGAGGGAGTAAGGGAAGTCCCATGAAAAACTATCATAATCCCAGATTGAATCGATGGCATCTTCAACTTTGCTTACGTTTGTTGTTGTATTCGCAATGGCCATTCGGTTAACCATAATAGATTCAACAGCAGCTTTAAAAAAGAAAACTTCAATTCGATAACAGCTACTCAATATTATATACATTTTTTGCATGTATTTAATGATGGAATTGACGTCCAGCTTAACTGTGACATTGTCTTACCGGCCAAAAACACACTGATCCCCCCTTTTACAACTCGGGAAGAATTTCCAAAGTTCAACAGCAGAAAAAAGAAGGCAATCACACAAAGAACCAAAGCAGAAATGCTCTCAATCTGAATTTCCGTCAGGTCAGCTAAAAGAAGAAATGAAATATTATTTATTTTAGTTAAATGTTAAGTTTTGTAATACGTCACAATCTTTTCGACAGATGCATCTAGCGTAAACAATTTACGTGATTGGTCAACTAACATTATCAATATTGACATGGAAATAGTCTGTTGCACGAGCAACCCATCAGGGATAAGAAGAAACTACCAGTCGTTATGCTTGCGGTTAGGAGGCGTGTACTATTTACCTTGAGCGCAGCTGTCAATCTAGATGGTGACGTAACGCAAAACTTCACACTTAACTGCAATCTACAATAACGCAACTATAGCCTAACAATAAAGATTTGTTTCTTAAAAATGCAAAATATTGATGCATTCGAGTCAAATTATTTGTGCAAAGTTGGGGGAATGAAAGATTCTTGTTAAGACGGGAAAGAAATACACTCTTTACATGATTATGTTAGTTGTAAATCTTTAACAAAGCAATTTGAATTTTACGTTTTCAATACTTTGTTTTTCCATTGGTGAAATTAGTTAGAATTAGAGGCGCGTTTGGTCGTCTGCCTGGGGCAGCATGGCGTTGCGGATAATACAAGTCATGCCAGTATCAATCCAATTTTAAATGTTAAGTCATTTGTCATTCTAACTAAAGAATAAAAGAACTAAAAGACATATGTAAGAGAGCGGAAAAACTAACTTTATCGTTCATTAATAAAAACTACGACATATCCGAGGTGTTTATTGTCTTCAAATGTACCTTTACGATGAATAGAAAAATACGATCACCAGTAGATATAAATTGATACCGTTGTCATATCTAATCTTGATGCAAATAATGTCCACAACAATAAAATATTTCATATGCATTTTGATAGGATTTGTTCATCGACATTCAACATTTTGTTTACATAATAATGTTACGTTTGTCCCAGAAATCCCGCGAGATTTGTTCTGTGACAATTTTGATGTTTTACTACCTTACTAAGTCAGATTTATAGCTATAATGTTCATACATTATGCCTATTATACATGTATTTACTTCCGAAGTCATTTCAAAGTAGTACAAAATTAATATTTCGATTTTACAGGTTTCCCTTTCACTTCTTTAAGTAATTCATTGAACCCGCCATATTGTCAGTCACACCAAACGTAATATGTATTCTATAATTCTATTGGTTAAGAGACTTAGTCCTAGCCAATCAGATTAGGCATTTATTTTTAGTGTATAATTGGCTTACTCTGCCTATATATAGAGCTACTCAAGTAGTAAAATTCACTCTGCTAGGGGTCAAGAACGCAAGGTTCGTGCTTCTTATGAACTTCAAGTTCGGTAGCAAATTTATGTAGTATAATATAGATACCCATAGTAGAGTCACTCATTTATTGGTTCAGGGTAGAATTAGATATCCCTTACCTTATTTCAGTTACATATATTGATAGGTTATCCCTATGTTTATTTTTATATAGGCCTACATTCTTGGGTGTATGGAAGCTCTTTAGTACAATAAATACATATTTTTGAAGTCACATTCTCCCCCAATATTTTTCAATTATTTAATTATTTTTGGATAAATCCATTTGTTATATATTTTTTTGGAAACATTTTGCTTTTTGTTATCAACTAGTCTAAAGTCCTATTTTTACCTTTGTTATAATAAATTATAAAACTTTACAAATCTTTTCATTTCAAAACAAGGTGATGATCATAATCTGGGAATCACTAAAGAACCTGGGTAGATAATTTAACCAGTGTAGCCCATATATATTGGTTTAATAAGACTTTCCAATCCCAAGTACTATAATCAATAGAGTATATTGAATTAAATTATTACATCAAAGTTAGGACTTGTGCTTTGGGAAAGGTTTGTCTTATTTTAGTCCATTGATAACACTGGTTCCCGTTATATTTTTGGTGCCTGTGAAACCAGGATTCCTAGACAGAAATCATGACTTCACCTTTACCTCCCTTCCATACATCCACACCCAAAGATAGTGGAGCTAGGCCTAAAACTCATATTCAAGGTGCCCATACACAAGAGTTAGAAAATAGCCTTTACCCCAATTTTGTAGCCCTTGAAAAAGAGCCTGATAGTATTGATGAGAGAAAGATGGACAGAGAGTTTCAAGAGATGACTGAAATCTATGAGAGAGTGAAGAAGGAGTATGAGAAGAGAAAGTCAGTGACTCAGAATGAAAGTGCCAAGTTAGGTTGTTCTTCTGTTGATAAAAGTACCAGAGTAGACAAGAAAGTCAGTTTTAAGGATTCAACTCAAGGTTCTCCTGTAAGTTTAGGTGCATCTTCACATAGTAGGGAAACAGAGATGGATGCATTACAGAGACAAATTAAAGAGTAAGAAATTCAGGAATTAGAGTTGTCCATAGCACTGCATAGGTCACAGTTAGATGCATACAAGACTACAACAGATACATCTACTCCGATAGGCACAATCAAACAGCTAGGACAACACCTACACACTTAGGCACACTACACTCTCTTCCTTCATCAAGGAAAAATAGATTTGCATCAGTAGATACATCTAGTGTCAATAGATCAGATCATAGCAATCCTGTCAGAAAGGAAAAGGAACCTGATAAATTTGATGGTAGATCAGTAGAGTGGAATTTATTGTGCATACTTTATTGTGCATTTTGAACAAGTTTCCTCCTGGAATAAGTGGTCATATCATGAACAAGGACAACAGCTAGTTATGTGTTTAAGAGGAGAGGCTCAGAAGTTGTTAGGTGATGTTACAGTTGAACAGAGGTCTGATTATGATTTGCTTAAATCTATTTTGACTAAAAGGTTCAATCCACAAGAGTTAGTTATTGCTCATAGGTGTGAGTTTAGGTCAGGTAGATGAAAGTCTGGTGAAAGTCCTTCTGACTTTGGTTATTCTTTAAGAAGGTTAGGGTGTTTGGCATTTCCTGACATGACATATAAGGATAGGGAGATCAATGTCCTTGAACAGTTTATCAATGGTATAGGTAATTCTGCCATTCATGACCATGTCATTTTTCATCATCCTCAGTCATTAGAAGCAGCTATATCATTAGCAATTGAGTTCGAGGCTGTTAAGGGTTCTCAGTTGAGTATGTCAAAACCAGTGAAAGTAGAGGGTGTAAATTTGGTGCAATCTAAGTCAGACAGTGGTCTTCAACAAACAGATTCCATACAAAGTAAAGATAAACAAGACTCTCCACTTGAGTCGAAAAGTTTGAGTGAACTGTTTAAGACATTAGAATCTTGTGTAGAGAAACTGTCCAAATCAATCAATAGAACAAACAGAGGGGGAAAACCAATTCAGGGAAAATTTCATATATAGAGTGCTAAAACTGTCACAAATTAGGGCATATAGCTAAATATTGTCCCCACAAAGGTTCCAAATTTCCTACACCTGCAAAGACAGACAAATCAGGAAAACATTTAGGGGTTGCTCTAGATGCCCATAGTGTGACCCAGAGTTGTAATGGAAAAGAGGGCAAAAATATTAAGATCAATATTCCGGAAAAATCTTGTTAATTGGCCAGTTGTTCTATAGAGAATGTTGTACATAAGTTTTTAGTTGATACAGGTTCAGTGGCTAGTATTTTATCCAAAGATGTTTTTATGACTTTGAAAAATAGGCCAGCTTTGGTAGAAACAGATTTAAATCTTACTGCAGCAGATGGTGGTAAATTGAACATTTTAGGCACAGTTGACCTTCAGTTTAGCCTTGGGAATTGTAGCTTTTGTCATGAGTTTATTGTTGCAGAGGTAGATGACCTCAAGGGTATTTTGGGAATGGATTTTCTCGAGCAACATAATGTGACAATTCAGGTTGCACAAGGCTTACTGATGTTTGCCGATCAGCAACATGTTCAGTTAGAAAGAGATTACACTCCTGTATGTACTAGGGTCAAGTTGTCTAAGAAAGTAGTCATTCCACCTGATAGTGAAATATTTGTACAAGGTTATGCTGTAGGTGTCAAGGACACATCTGTAAATAATTTAGTTGAACCATTTCAGTTTCTACAGAAGAAAGGTCTATTAGTTGCCAGAACCTTGGTAAATCCAGAAAATATACAATTTTCTGTGGCAAATATCTCAGATAGGCCAATAAAATTTGACAAGCACACCACTGTAGCTTCCTTACAACCTGTAAATATTGTACAGTCAAACATCAATAGTGAATTAGATGTTGACGGTTCACGAGAGTTGCCAAAACATTTGCAATCTTTGTTTGATAGATCGTCCAAATGCTTGACACAAGAACAAAAATCAACTTTGTTCGACTAGCTAATTTCCTACAAGGACATATTTGTTGGTCCGGATGGAAAATTCGGTAGAACTAAATTAGTCAAGCATAAGATAGATACTGAAGACCACAAACCTATAAAGATACCACCTCGTAGGTTACCATTTGCACAGAGAGACATAGTAGAAAAAGAAATTCAGAAAATGTTAGATACATGTAACAACATCATAGAGCCTAGTGAAAGTCCATGGTCTGCCTTGTTACAACGCACTTTGAAAAATTACGCACTTTGAAAATAATTTTCAAAGTGCGTTAAAATTTGGGACCAAGCTAACGCACTTTGAAAAAAATAATTTTTTTCAAAGTGCGTTAATATCAACCATATTAACGCACTTTGACAAAAAATGTAAAGATTGATCAATATTCCTTCAACTAATCGGTATGCTAAATTGGGCAGATAGCTGGTATTGATAACTTTCTTAAATAAAGTCACTGTAGGACCTGAGATATTGATGTTTTAAATATTGAAGGTTTGATAAAATAAAAGGGAAAATTAAAGGGTCTTGAAAAAAAGAGTGACGATTGCTTATGTTCATTAATTCGTTTCTTCGTTTTTTTTTTAAATTCAAGTCTTTGATAAGTAGATGTAAAGTTGTATGGGGGCACTAACAGACGACAGCTTCAAGAATCTTAGCATTTATCATAATAAAAAGGGGCCAATTTGATTGTTCAAAACTATGAAACTTCTTTCTCTCTCATACGTTTTACTGTACTTAAAACTTTCTGGTTTT